TCAATACTCTGTCCCATAACCCCATAGACATGGGCAAAACTTGTTTGCGTGCATAGTAAATTTTGGTGTGTTTGCAACATAAGCTGACCTGGTTTGTGTATGTAGCTCAGCTGTGCTACGTGACCGCAGTGGTTGTCTCATTGTGCTGTAAAGGCTGGACAGTACTGCTACAGTGTATGAAATAGCTTGTTGTTTTTGCTTAAACATACACAATGAGAGGCAAACAGTAAGATATACCTAGCAAAAATGTGAAGAAAACAGCCTTAAACTGTAATTATCTGAGGTCTACATGAGAAGGACTGTTACTCTTTTGGAAAAACCTTTTGATTTACACGCATTTTTTGTTTTCAGATTTTCTGCGTAATGTGAGAAACTAGCTGAGTTTAGAAGTATGCCTATTACAATACATTTCAGACAGCAAATTTTGTTTTCAGACAGATGTTGTAGATTCTTCTGTACTGAGAACAAGTGCCAGGTAGTTTTTTCAAAAAGAGGAAACAGACACCTAAGCATGAATACAATGAAAGTCATGATACTGAGTTGATTGTAATTTAGTTAGTAGCTTTGCTTTGACTTTCACAGCTTCAAAAACAAGAACAAACCTTATGAATGAAAATAACTCTGGCTTTTGTTAGGTCAGTGTATTTACAAGTAAATATCTCTCTCTTTCCTGGGAGTGTTGGGGGGGGGTAAACAATGGCATGTTTATATTCAAAACAGCCATTATATAAATGGTCTTTGAGGTTGTGGGGACAGTCACGTATTTACGCACACTCCAAATTAATTTTTTCCAAACCACTTAGGTAATTTAAGTCACGCATTACCCATTGAATGTGTTCTCACAGTGTAGAAAATGCAAAGGTAAAGTGTATTCTGAAAGCTGAATCTGTGCTATGTTTTGTTTCTTTATGGTGGTGTTGCAAGTGAAAGGATTTTTTTTTTTATTTTTTATTTTTAGTGTTAGATTCTGGTTTGTTTTTAAAACCATGAATATCTGTATAGGCTTTTGGAAACCTGAAGAACTTCTCTCTGTTTATTTGGAACTTGCATCTGAATTGAATAACCTTTAACAAAAGCATCCATTCTTCAAAATGGTGAACTGTCAGCAAAGCTAAAATAATTGTTTGTAAAACAAAGTTAAAACATTTTTTTTTTCTCATTCAGGTTCTGGTAGGCAAGTTCTGGTAGATTCATTTCTAGGTAGGACTGGAATTTCATTTTGGTAATTTGTGCCTGAGAGATGACGCATGGTAATATGTTGCTAACTTCAGACTTTTTATAAATTTGTTCATTTAGGAACCACCATGAATTAGCATGACCTGAGGACGATGTGTTTGCTGGCACAAGCTGTTTTTATGCACTAAGATGGTGCAGCCTGACCCCAGCCAGCGTCTGACAGAGTAGATCTCAGTCTCTACCCAGGCAGTAGGAGTAGTAGCTGCACAGAAGAGCAACCTCAGACTAGTCAAGTAAATTTTGTGCTAATATCCAAAGTGTGAAACATGGGACCTACAATAAACTGTTGTCTTTAATGATGAGAGTTCCTGCTGTATTTATTTACATGTACCACAACTGCAGTTTTTCAGCTCTCAGAGTAGCAGCCACTTGACTTGCATCCAAACGCCCTTATGAAAACACAAATCTCAGAATGGTGGCACAAATACCGCCTTAGTTGTTGGTGCTAGTTTGTAGAAGTGAAGCTCAAACCATTATTAAAAGGTAAATTATTTCTTCACAATTTTTTTTACAAGCTAGCTTGATTAAGTTTTAAAATTATTAAAGTTTAAATCTCCCGGGAAACAGAATCTGACTGTGATGGGATTTGAGAACTGCAAGCAGGAGGATACATTAATGGTTTTGCTAAATGTGAAATGAAAATGCAAGCCACCTCTAAGTCCTTGAAGATGCAAGGCTTCTTTGTAATCTTCAATGAATACATCATTGCAAACTTCATTTGAATGTGTCTTGGGAGACTGTTGTGATGAATGGCATAGATACAGATTTTTATGTCATTTATCTGAGGTAACTAAATGCCTTTTGGTGATTTGGGACGTCAAGAATTTTCTGCTAGTGGCACTGGTTGTCATGATGTCTGAGAAACTGATAAAGTTCTTATAAAAATAAGAAGTTTTATAAAAATAAAGATTTTATAAAAGACTGCCATACCAAAGCTTTGATAATTATATAAGCAGATATCCTAGGGGCAAAAGACTATCCTGACATGTTCCGTACAGTATGCTGGGGGGAAAAAACGCTAGTAAAGCTTTTTGATTCAAGCCATGACAATTGTAGGTTTTTTCCACAATGAACAAGTAACATGTCTCACATTTGGAGCAAAATTGCTTTTCTTTGCAGTTCACTTACGTGCTTCCGTGCTCTGTTGGAGGAGCCATCCCTGGTGCTCGACAGCAGACAGACAGATGGTCTTTCCTTGTGACTGTCTAACCATGGAGGGCAGAGTTGCACCCTTCCCTCCACTTCCCTAATACGCTTTTTAGTCTGGAGTCCTCTGAAGCTGGAAGAGTACGATGTCTTTTGCTCTTGTGTTTCCCCTTCTTCACTTTTCTCTCCCTTTTGTCGCACTTTTCTCTTTGTCTCTCTTCCTGACAGGTCCCAGTGTCACCTTAATTGCCTGCCTTCTCTTCCCTTGCTAGTCACTTACATTTTATTATGTGCAGCTCAGCTGTTCCCTCCTCTTTTGTCTTCAGCTGTGTGTCTCTGGTTAATTTTCACTTTTCTGCTATTTCAGTAAGATTTTTTGGCCCTGTACCTAGCACACCATGCTGGCCTGTATTCCCAGCATGCCACTCTTTACAAAGGACCTAGAAGCACAGGAGAGCAGAACAGTAATGAAGCCCGTTTCTGATTCTGCCGCAGAATATCCTTGCAACCTGGAAGAAATTATATCATTTCTGTGGTCTCAGTTGGCTTACCTTTCTGGTAGTAATGCTGCCAGCCTCCTTGGGGTTATTGTAACATGTGATTTGTGAAAGTTTGAAAAGTGGTTTTGATTTCGAGTGAACGAGGCTGTTGAAGCACTTAGAATAATTTACTGTGGTTCACCATGCCCGCCACCGAGCACTAGTGAAATTTTGAGGGTTTTGATTCGGTTCATGAGGCTATTACTGCTTTGTAAATGGTTCCTTCCATTCTCCTCTCCGAGCATTTAGCTGTAGGAGTCACTGGACTGTTCTTTCAGTTTTAGTCTCACTTGCTTTGTTAAAAAAACAGAACCACCAAAACAAAAACCAAAAGTGAACCGCAAATGCGATAACCCCATAGAGCGTGCAAGAGCGTAGCAGGGTCGCATTTCTCCCGACACGCAGCCTCGCTGGGCTTTCCCATCGAGCCGGTGGGCCGGCTGCCTGCTCTACAGGCACGGTGGCACGGGGCTTGGCGGCTCCGTGACGCTCACAAACCGCTTCAGAGCGAGTGACTGTGCCGTGTTGCTCCTTCCCGTAGAACCAGCAGCAGCAGAACCAGCATCAGCAGCAAGCAGCACCTCGCACAGCCAGGACTCCAGCCTCAACCAGGTGCCTCCCAACAAGAAACCACGCATAGGGCCTTCAGGCGCTAACTCAGGCGGGCCTGTCATGCCTTCAGATTATCAGGTACCTCTTGAATTTTTGCTGCTTCTGATACCGTAGGGCCGAAATGTCATTTTCCACCTTCGCCGCTGCAAGAGCAGATGTTTTAATGAATTTCTCATGTAACATGAGCAAGTGTGCTCTGATAAAAATATGGGTTTAAAGGAAAAAGTTCTGTGGTCAGTAGTTTTCAATAGAATACCAGTATGAGTTGTATCTGCTGCACCTTGTAAAGTGTTGAGAACTAGTCCCCTCCAGGAAAGCGCTTAAGTACATGCTTAACTTTTTATTATCTTACTGAAGCCAGCAGAACTATTTCATGCACGTAAATGCTGCACTAGATCAAGTTCAGGATACTCGGCTCTTGGCAATATTCAATCCTATGTGAGAAGCAGATCTGAGAGGATCCTGAGAAGCAGAAGCAAAGTTAGAGCCAGACTCTCACATTTGACTGCGGCTTCAGTTCACCTCCTGTCATCACGTGTATGGAGCGGTTCTGTAGCTTATTCTAGCATCTTGCTGAATCTACTTCTAATGTTAAAATGCATGTTAGCCCAGGAATGA